AGGTCCTTTATGCAGGCACTGAGCTTTTCTAGCTGATCTGTCTGATTAGGCTTCATCGACAGATAAAGCTGTGTGTCATCTGCATAGCAGTGGAAATTAATTCCATGCTTTTTAATAATGTTTCCCAGTGGCAGCATGTAGAGAGTAAAAAGAATCGGTCCGAGTACCGAACCCTGCGGCACACCGAATTCCACTCCAGAATAAGGCGACGAGTCCTGATTCACATTGACGAAGTGATATCGATCTGATAAATAGGATTTAAACCAGCCAAGGGCTGTTCCTCTAAGACCTATATCACATTCTAGCCTCTGCAGTAGAATGCTGTGGTCTATTGTGTCAAATGCAGCACTAAGGTCCAGTAGGACCAGCACTGACACTTGTCCATTATCGGCAGCTAGTAGTAAGTCATTTGTGACTTCGACTAGTGCCGTTTCAGTGCTATGATGAGCTCTGAATCCTGATTGAAAGACTTCAAACATATCATTTTCCTGCAGGTGGCAGCGGAGCTGCTCAGCTATAAGTTTTTCCAGGATTTTAGATATAAAAGTGAGGTTTGAGATCGGTCTGTAGTTTGTAAGTATTTCTGGGTCCAGGTTTGTTTTCTTCAGAAGGGGTTTGATTACCGCGGTTTTAAAAGCTTGTGGGACATAGCCACATTGTATGGATGCGTTTTTATATTTACGATAGGCTCAATTATCAAAGGAAGTATGTCTTTGAAGAGCCATGTCGGGACTGCGTCTAACATGCAAGTTGAGGCTTTTGAGGATGTGACCACAGAGATCACCTCTGCTTGGCTCACAGCCATGAATTTATTAAGGCCCACTGAAGAGTCTAAGTGGGAAGTCACGTATGCCGCTTCAACCTGTCCACCACTAACAGCAGGAGCAACCTCCTCCAGCTTGTCACGGATGGATGTAATTTTATTATTAAAGAAGTGGAGAAAGTCGACACTGCTCAGTGAGCTTGGAATTTTAGGCTCGATTGCGCTATGGCAGTTTGTGAGTTTAGCGACGGTACCAAACAAAAATCTACTGTTGTTTTTATTCGCTTCTATTAAAGTTGAATAGTATTGAGTTCGAGCCCCGCGAAGGGCCTTCTTGTAGTTTCGGAGACCTGCTTTCCACTCCCTGTGGACAGGCTCCGAGTGGGAGTGGCGATATAGCCTCTCCAATTTTCTGACGTCCTGTTTTAAAGTGTGGAGTTGAACACTGTACCAGGGCGACGATGATCTAATCCTAATGGTTTTCTGTTTTAAAGGAGCTGCTGCATTTAATGCAGATTTTAAAGACTCCATAGTGTTGCCCACCGTTTGGTCAATGACTGAGGGACTGCAGCTGCTGTGAACAGGTTCACCTGCAGCAGTATTCAACATAGGCTGTATTAGTTCTTTGAACCTTGTGATAGATTTATCATTTAAGGTTCTTTTCATTATGGTTTTATCTTGCGGGACAGGAAAGTCCTCCAAAGCGAGATCAAACGTGATCAAGAAATGGTCAGACAGCAACGAGCTTTGACGCTGGATGTCAACATTGGAGACATCACAGCCGTAGGTCAGGACAAGGTCCAAGGTGTGGTTATGAATGTGAGTAGGTTCCTCGACATTCTGAGTAAAACCAACACCATCTAGTACGGCGCTGAAAGCTTTGTTTAAGCTGTCAGTGCTGTCGTCCACATGTATATTGAAGTCTCCAGCTATAACTATGTTTTCCCATTCCAAAACTAGGTTTGAAATGAAGTCAGAGAATTCTGTTAGGAACTCGCTGTAAGGACCAGGAGGTCGGTATAAAACTATAAATAGTACTGCTTTTTGTTTTCTCCACCCAGGACAGGTGATTGAAAGTGTTAAGTTTTCAAACGAGTGAAAAGCGTTGTTGGTTTTGGGACTAAGAACCAAGTTGGTGTGTGATATAATCGCAACACCACCGCCGCGACCTGTAGCTCTGGCTTTCTGGTAGTTAACATGCGTCGGAGGAGTGCACTCATTCAATCTAACGTACTCGTCCTGTTGGAGCCAAGTCTCCGAGAGCGCTAACAGATCCAAGCCCTTGTCTATAATAAGTTCGTTTATGAGAAGCGATTTAGACGAGATTGATCTGACGTTCATTAAACCACATTTAACAACCCTACCGCTAGAACTATTTCTGTCTGTCTGAACTTTTATTAAGTTACTGTGTCTGACACCTAGGTCAGATTTCCTCGCATATAGTGCTTTAGACTTCAAGCGGGGAACACACACAGTTTCAATCTGACTAGGTTCTGAGGCTAGTAACTGAGCACACACAGGCACACACACACATGCACACACAGTTTCAATCTGACTAGCCTCTGAGGCTAGTAACTGAACAGATGGGGGCTCAGAGGTTGTGGCAGAGCAGCTCTGCACCCGGGCCTCAGTTCTGCACCGTCATTTGAGCCGAGCAAACAGTTTAGAGCCAGGGCCAAATTCTTAGCCAAAAGGGATGTACCCGCCAACGTTGGGTGGATATCATCCGAGCGGATGAGACCGGGCTTTCCCCAAAAGGCACTCCAATTGTCAACATGAACAACACCACTTCGAGGGCACCAGCCAGACAGCCAGCGGTTGAAAGCCGAGTGTCTGCTGAATGCTTCTGCACTGCTAGTGCTAGGTAGGGGCCCAGAGAAGATGACAGTGTCGGCCATTGTGCTAGCCAGCTTGCACACGGCGGCGACTTGCAGCTTCAACACCTCGGACTGTTTCCGCCGAACGTCATTACCACCCGCGTGAATAACAATTCGACGGAAACGCTGCTTGTGGGTCATCATGAGCCTCAGATTCCCTTCAATATCACCAAGCCTGGCCCCAGGGAAGCACCGAACAGTGGCTCCTGGGATCTTAACACCTCTAACAATAGAGGAGCCAATTACCAGCGCATCAGCGACTCCATCGGCTCTCTCAGCAGCTCTCTCAGCGGCTCTCTCAGTGGGGCCTTCTTCCCCGCCCGGCCGCGCGGGGGCGCAGCCGGACAGAGCGTCCCAGCGATTGTAAATGCTAACAGGAGGAGGCCCAATGGGGAAACTACCAACAACACGTCGCCCTCTCCGAACAGTCACAAAGCCATCACTATCCTGGTCTTGTCCCAGCTGCGGAGGACGGGCTGGGAGGCTAGGCTCGCTAGTTCTCCTCTGCCTTTCCCTAAAGCTGCGCTCCGCTGTCCCTGAGGATACGGCCTGGCTGTAGCTAATGCTAGCGCTAGCTCGAGACTCCAGTGCTCGGAGACGCAGCTCTAACTCACTGACCCTGGATTCCAGAGCTACGACTACACTACACTTCACACATCTATCACTACCCTCAGAGAAGGATCCAGGGTTTAGACTCGCCATATGGCAACTCGAGCAGTAAAGGATTGAGGGAGAGACAGCAGCCGCCATAGTAGCGAGTTAGCGGCTAGGCTAGGCTAAGCTAGGCTAGGCTAAGCTAGTACGGATCCGGGCCCGCACAACAGACTCCGAGACCAGACAAACAACCGCTACCTAAACCTCAGCTACAGTACAGCTGACTCGGAGTGCTTACACAGTTAGCTTGGTGTACAATACGTGGATTTGTAATGTGTTTGTTAGTGCAAACAGAGAGCAGAGTGATAGCAGTCAAGAAACACGCTCACCGGATACAGGAAGTCACGTCACGATCAAGTGTCTTGCCCAGGGACACAACAAGAGCAGAGGTCAGAGGGAGTAGATGACATGGGTCGTGGTGGGATTGAACCCACAACCATTAGGTCCAAAGGTCACATATTTATTCTCAAGTAACACATGATAGCATGATGTGTTGATTTTAGTTGAACTTTTCAAATAATTATATTGCTGTGTTTCCTCAAACGATATAACTGGCTGGTTATATGATTGGAGCCACTGCCTTGTCAAATGTCACTATGATTAAACCAATTCTCTATCAGGACTGAACTGGGCTCAAACCAGAAAAGTATGAATGCACCATTAATTGAAACCCAGTGCAAATAATTCCCCTGTCTGTTTGTTTGTCCCATTTGACACAACTCTGATGGACCTTTCTAATTAAATGACTACCCAAGCCAGGGTTAAGTAAGTCCAAGAATGTTCCAAGGTCTGTCTCTGGATTTGTTGAAGGCGAAAAGGTCTTGGGGAATTAGTAGACAAGGTTTCTGGTGTGTGCAGGATCGATAATGAAATAACAAGAGACTTTGTGACATTATTGAGCCGGGGGGATGGGAGAACGCCACATATCTGCGGCAATCGATGCGTATGCAGTCTACTGTCGTCTGGAGCAACGAGACAAATGTTGCAGCGGGGAAGAGAGGAGAGACCAGAGATGGACACCGAAATATAATGAGAAGGGTGACCAGCTGCTTCTGAGAATGCTGTCATGTTATATGGGTGTTCATGTGGTTTATGAGAACACACTATTGTTATTAAATATATGGATGGAAATAGGGGTTTGTAACAAACTGGTGGCATAATCCTGTTATTACGTTTTGAAAGAAGCTCAGTTTAATGATGTTGTTCGTTCCTATGCTCGTGCCCTCTTTGTATATTTATTTTTATGCAGTATGGACCTGGTTTTGTGATGGCGCTTTGGTCTCGGTTAAGCTGTTTTGTTGCTATGCTCAGCCTTGGTTTGTATTGAAAGTATGATTTCACAGAAAATGCTAGTTGGACACAAAAACTAGCAGAAATTGTTAGATATGGTGGATATGTAATGCATTCTGGAATATTCTTAGAGTTAAGAGTTGTGCCTTTGAATTCGTTGTGAAAGTTGCCACTTGCCGCCACATTTCCGCCTTTGTGGAATCCCAAAACTAGTACTTTGAAAACACAGAGTACTTTGCTCGTATTCAACCCGTTTGATCGCTGACAACCTGCGGCAGGAACAGTCTGTCCCCCTTTTCCTTTTTGGCCATTGGAACCGAAACGCACACTTTCTCCGCTTTTCTTTTCAATGCGCTTTTTGTAGTGCAGCTTTTTGACTTTTGGCCATCCGTGCCTCTACTCTCTCTTTCTCACAGTCGGTTGACCCGGGCCAGCAGTTTACCTGGGAGAACTCCAATATGGAAGTGAACAAGCCAAAGAACCGCTATGCAAACGTGATCGCCTACGACCACTCTCGAGTCGTGCTCACCTCCGTGGATGGTAAGTGCTGCAACATCTTCAAGCCCACCTATTCGTCCTACAACAACTCTGACATGAATATAGATTGATTTAAACTGAAGTAGGAGTTTTTTTTAAATAAAGCTTTAGCTTATCCAAGTTTGAGCAGTTTGGCACAATTAGGGGAATACTTTCAATAGCTATAGTATATGCTTGTTTTCAGTGTTAATTGATTTCACATATGTTTTCCTACAGGTAAAACTCAAACATTTAGAATATTGTTCAACATTATATTCAACTTACAATATGAAAATAAAACATGACAAACTCATTATCGGCAAAGTGAGATATATCAATCCTTTAAATGTTATAATGTTGACACTTTGCTCACAGCTGGAAAATTTCACATATTTTTTTTTGTTCCAACTGTATATTTTTAGTGATGTTCAATCATACCAAAGTGTGTTTTTAATTACTAAATATAATACTACGTTGCACTAAGTACAATGTATTATTATTATTATTATTATTATTGTTATCACAATTATAGACCTTTCGGTGTGAGTTTACATATCAGCCCACCTTTTGCACCATTTAGGTTGTGTAAGCTATGATCTTCAACAGGAGCCACTTTGTTTCCTATACATTATACAAGTATTACATGGTAGCGAAATGAATAAATGTAATACCATATGGTAACTGAATTGCATTAAAAAACATTACATTTTTATGTATTATAAGTAACATTACATTGTTTATATGTGCCTACTCTGTGCTATTGCCAGTACACAGATGAATACATGGAGAAATGGCCGTAGTATAAATAGTAAATTAACAGCTGCCATTTTTGTAGTGGGTTGGCAAACTGACAAAGATCTGTTGTCGACATATGCATTGACTAAATGGTGGCTAAACGGATTACAGTAGCTAGACGTAGAAAATATGGTATAATGTCCAGACAAGGCTGGCACGCTCGCACATCGCAATGCATCATATTAAGCTTGTTTCAATGCTTAATATCTGTAATAGAAATAAGTGCTATATAGAGCTCAAAAGTAAAAAAATACCTATAAACGCCTTCCCCATCATTGCGTAATTAAATTAAATGTTCTAAGTCAGAGTACTACATGTATACATTAGTGCTGCTGGACATGATACTGCAATTTTCTCCTTTGCTGAAACGCTTCTCCTATTACCCCCTCCACAATGATGCATGGTGGCCCTTTTGTGAAATGAGGGAAATAAATGCAACAAAAAATATATGCCAAAGACAAGGACAGTATGTTTTGTGTGCAAATTTCATGACCTTACTGTGCGGATAGAAGCAGCGCGCGCATTAAAAATTGAAAGCTCTATACATAGAAATCAGCCAAGGACGCATCTGAAGCCGAATGAAAAGACATTTAGATATGTTGTGTTGTAGTAATGGCCGATTATAAAACCGTTTTTATCTTTTTATTTTTCTTGCAGCTGTTCCAGGCAGTGACTACATCAACGCCAACTACATCGATGGCTACAGAAAACAGAACGCATACATCGCGACACAAGGCCCGCTTCCGGAGACTCTCAGCGATTTCTGGCGAATGGTGTGGGAGCAGAGGTCTAATACCATAGTGATGATGACCAGGCTGGAGGAGAAGTCGCGGGTATGTGCAAAAAACACATTAGCACCGCAAGAACAACAAGCGTTTTTAATTAAGTTCATGCCTCAACAGTTAATATTTAATGACACGTTGGTTTATTGAGTACTCGGAGATTGAATTGCATGCATTATACAACTTATTCATTAGAAACGCCATAGCAGCACAATTAGTTTGAATTACGCCGTGTTTACTAATGACAAGTGTGAAGATTGGAGTATGTTTTGGAATTGAAAACAAGCGGGGTCCAAAAAGCGCATCGCAAAAAGGCATTCAATTGGTTCGCAAAACTTTCTCGGTGATATCAATCGATGATTAACAAGACTTGTCACTATAGTTTTCTAACGTTTCATAGATAATAAGTTTAATACTTTGATTTATACTTAGAAATGGCTGCCTCTACCCTATCAATTACACAAGGCAATGTTATTTGTATAGCACAGTACATACACAAGGCAACTGAAAGTGCTTTACAAAACAAGAAACTTATACAAGGACATTCAAATCAGAGATGATCACAGAACATCAAAAAGTTTGTTGTTACAATGATGAAACTGGGATTGGAACATCAAAAGTTGTCTCACATTTTCAGGAAGGTTTCAGTTGAATATTACTGAAATGAAACAATATAAATTATGACAACTGTACGTCATGATATTACCAGATGATTTACATTTAAAATGAACTGCATTGAATACAGGGACACAAACACTCAAGGCATCTACCAGTCCAGGTGCTAAACTTAGACTGCATGTACAAAGTAAAAGTTTAGTTCTCTCATCAATACAGTCACTCTGTTAAGAGGTGCTAATCACTTTTGCACACACCTTTGATAAATGCTCCCTTTTACACTACTACAGCACAGAATCCAGCCCATACTGCTGGATTCTGTTCCAGTCTCCACCAAAGCCAAACATGTTTCTTGAAAATTACCATGAACGTTGACAGTTCCGAAAGAGGTTAGTGACACGTGTGGTATATGTTAATGTATGTTGACGTCTCACAGCAGAAAACAAAGCCAGAGGTGCAGAGGTCTAGTGCTGGATTTGTCAGCCTGATCAAAGCCGCAAATACTTCAAAGACTATTTTTCTGCGGACACTATCGCTGCATGTGTCTCAAGTCTTCAGCGTTTACTGAACCCTCAGTCTCACTTTAGAATATGTTTGTTGAGCGTGTTCTCTTCAAGTGCATTACTGTGTTTTAGATTTGATTTACTTACTTACTTAAAAAAACAAAAAACTTTATAACAAGTAACCAACATGTCCAGATTATTATATAATTCGCAAATTCACTAACAGTAAGTATAAGGGACAGCAAAACACCAATTCTAAGGTGGATTTGATTGAAAAAAATACATACAAAATAAAAACAATACCTGAATCTGTTTAAAAGTCTGAAACATTGTATTTATTCTTATTTTTTTGAAAATGTTTTGACCATATAGTGTCAACTAAAGTAAGATTTTATATACCAATAATATAACAATATATTTAATACAGTCCCTCTCCTTGACATAACCACCACCAATATCATTTTGCTGGAGTGGTTAGACCAATGGTAAGCAGCCTAGGAATCCCATCCAATCAGAAAGGGGGTGGGGGTGGGTGGGTCAAACCAATCCATACATTGGGAAAAATCTCTCACTTTTTGATAACTGACATTCATATTAGTAATATAGCGTATAACTTTCTACTTGCAGAATGTTTGCAGTTGTGCCTGTGATTTCAAATGGCATTTTCCTGTCAAACCGTGACGCTACTTTTCCAAAAACTCATCACATTAGAAGCAAACCATATGCATAAAAAAAACTAAAGATGATCAAAATGAAACCTGTTTATAGCCAGCCTTTCCAGATACAAAACATCAGCAGAAAACCTCAAAAATATGAAGCAAATTTAGCTCCACTAACCAAGATAACGCAGAACTCCCACTACGCGTTCACTGTTTATTTCCATCTCATTTCTGTTTGTGCGTCCTGTGAATTTGTCTCCTTAAAAGTCACAGCTGCACAATAAAATCTGTGAAGACGGAGTTAAGAGGATCGTCGCCCAACAACTCCGGCACGCTCCTAAAAATACGCTCAAACTCATAAAAGACAAACAGCGACGCACGGGAGAGTCAAGAAAATCAAAAATGGCGTTGCTTTATTTAATTACTTCACAAACTTGCACTTATAAAAAGGGGAAAAAAGCTTCAGGGAAAAATAAACCAGCTATAGAAACCCAGCCTGGAAGCTACAAATTAAAAAGACAAAATTAAAGTTATTTTCAAAGCTCTTCTTTTAAAATTATGGCATAATTTCTTATCAAGAGCAGGGAATAGGCAATAATTTAGACAAGAAAAAGCACTGGTGCAGTTTATAATTTGTTAACTATAGAGATGTCAATAATGGAAGTATACTATAAATGTACTATGAATATAGGAAGAATTTAAATTATTAATTGGTAGAAAATAGAGTTAACTGTGATATATATGGTTAAAGCCTAATCTGTTTTGTATATTGTACCTGTACCATCTTGTGGAGCTACAAAAACATTGAGCATAGCTTTTAAAAACTTTGATACAATTTGACATTGTTTAGAATTTTTGGCAAGAACTATTGCACTGGGCATACGTAGGCGCACTACTATTTGGAAACGATTTAGCAATGATTTTCAGACATTTGGGAGAATTTAAAATGCTGTAGTATTCTTGGACATGGTTGCTGATCAGCCTGGTTCAAAAGCCTCCAGAGACGTAGGGAAAAAGTCAACGGCAAAACCAATGACCCATATATTCAATGTTTCCAAATGGCTGACCTTTCCTTCAAATGGTGGCTATCATTTATACAGTCGTTTCCCAAGTCTTGCTTTTTCCAACTTGTGCAGAAGCTAGTGCTCCAACTCAGCTTCAAATGAATACTCCATACATATATCCTGTATTAGTTCATTAATTAAACGTCTTGTCTGACATTGCAAGTCGATACGAGCTGATACTGTCAGTGTGCCCCAGGGCAACTGTGGCTACAGTAATAGTTTATCAACAGCGTGTATGGAATGAAAGATTATTGACATGTGAAGCTTCTTTAAGTGTCCTGAAAAGCACTACAAAAAACAATGCATTATTATTATTATTATTATACTACCGTCACATTCATCTTCTTATTTCTTTCACGTACATAAATAGAAGTGCCCATTCACACATAGAGCAACCACATACGACAGGAGTGAGTCAAATCACCCACACAAATTCAAACACAGTATGGCGAGATCCAGCCGCAGCAGCAGTAGCCACCGCTAGCTCTAACATTAGACCTCAGTGAAATAATAAATAAAAAATTTGAAAGGTCATGATTTGAAATGAGACCAAAGGCGCCAGTGTCTTTGTGGTGTGGAGATTACAGAGAGCAGCGTCCTCTGCAAAGGCTGAGGTGACAGCGTGACCGAGCCGGGTTCAAAGCCAGAGCACATCACAGCAGCTCCCACCTCTGGGGACCTGGCTGCACTGCGTCAAAAAGCATAAGGGCACTTTTTTTACACAGAGATACCAATGGATACTGAATTAAATATGCTCCATGTCACTTTTTGAGGACTGTTTGCTATTCAGAAGATTTGCTTTGTTTTAACTGGAACTCATGCAGGTGAAACTTGGACAATCTGAATATTGTTCAAAATTGAATATATTTCTGTAATTGAACCCAGTGATGTACACTCATTACATGCAACGTGACAAATGGTGAGCAAGGGGCGTCAAACTTGTTTCAGAAAGGCAAGGCAAGGCAAGGCAAGTTTATTTATATAGCACAATTCATACACAAGGCAATTCAAAGTGCTGAACAAAACAAGAAAGCATTAAAATCATAAATAATCACAGAACATTAAAAAGAAAGATACAAATATAAAATCCCTCAGTTGTATGCACAGCTAAACAGAACTGTCTTTAACCTGGCTTTAAACATTGTCAGAGAGGAGGCCTGTCTCACATCTCCAGGAAGACTGTTCCAGATTTTAGCAGCATGAATCTGAAAAGCAGCCTCCCCATGTTTAGTTCTGACTCTGGGCCCTAACAGGAGTCCAGTCCCTGTGCTCCTCAGAGTCCGGGCTGGTTCATATGGGACTAACATGTCACTAATATATTTTGGTGCGAGGCCATGGAGAGACTTGTACACAAGCAGAGCTGTTTTAAAGTCTATTCTCTGAGCCACAGGAAGCCAGTGCAGAGACCTGAGGACTGGACTAATGTGGTCGTACTTCCTGGTTCTTGTCAGGACTCGAGCTGCTGCATTTTGAATGTACTGCAGCTGTTTTACAGCCTGTTTGGACAGACCTGTGAGCAGGCCATTGCAGTAGTCTAACCTACTGGAGACAAATGCATGGATAAGAATCTCCAAGTCTGCTTTAGACACTATGTTTTTGATCCTGGCAATGTTTTTTAGATGGTAAAAAGCTGCTGATGTTACTGATTTGATGTGGCTATTAAAATTTAAGTCTGAGTCCAGTATTACCCCTAGATTTCTGACCTTGTTTGAAGGTTTTAGGGAGAGAGACTGTAGGTGACAGATGACGCTCTCTCTTTGTTTCTGGGGACCAAAGACAATCATTTCAGTTTTGTCTGTGTTTAGCTGAAGGAAGTTGTTTTGCATCCACTCACTGATCTGTTGGATACAGTGAAGGAGTGAGTCCACTGGTCCATGTTCTCCTGCAGTCAGTGAGACATAGATCTGAGTGTCGTCTGCATAGTTATGATAGGAAACTTCGTTTCTGCGTATTAACTGACCTAACGGCAGCATGTAGAGATTGAACAGAAGAGGTCCCAGGATCGACCCCTGTGGTACTCCACAGGTCAGGGCCATATGATCTGAGACACAGTTTCCAATCTCCACAAAGTACTTCCTGTCCTCAAGGTAAGACCTAAACCAACTTAGGGCGGTGCCAGCGACTCCAACCCAGTCCTCTAGTCTCTGTAAGAGGATCTCATGGTCGACGGTGTCAAAGGCAGCACTTAGATCTAACAAGATTAAGATTGA